CAAATTTATCCGAATGATACAACGACAAGACTCATATGCTGTTCAAAAGAGCCCAAATGAGTTATTGTCTGCTGACAATTGGTTATGAAAATTTTCTTCCAATTCAAAGCAGATCCAATTTATTAGATCTTGCATACGTGCTCTTCTCTTTAAGGCTACTGGTTGCATACATGTCGATTCAATGAGGCTAAAACATGGCAATTGGCTTCAATGCCTTCAAAGTAGCCACATATAGATAGGAGTTGACAATTAAGGTTTTCACTTGTTTGGAGCCATAATCTAAAATCTTGAATTCTGAAAACCTCAAGCATAGAAATATTTGATTATATAAAAATAAAATAAAATCAGAATGCTCTAGACTTGTTAGAGATCTAGTGTAGGTCAGGCTTGTGTTCAAAAAGTAAATTCTAACTTTAAAGAATTAAATCAAGAAAGAACAAATCTAACAAGATAAATTGACCTCATTTTGAGTTATTTATTATTTATGGGGACATTAGTCCTAGGTTACATTAGATACCCTGTAATTGCATCTAATTCATTTCTCAAATTAGAAAAATCTCTCCGAGTAATTTGCTCACATTCCATATACACGAAATTATGTCAAAAGAAATTGAACAAAATGGGCTTATAATATATTAGCTCTACACCTTGCATTGTTCTCGGGTTTGTTGGTCTCCAAATCTTTATAGAATATGTTGGTTTTTTATCTCTTAGGCGGTTTACTGCAGTAGCAGTCCTGTCTTTGCTCTATGCTCTACAATTAAGTTCTTTCTATTTTCTCATAGAATCCTTCCTTTGTATTTCGAAATTTCAAACTTTAGAGAGAGGTAAAAGTAACAGGCAGTTATGGGTTAGTGGGCCATTTTACCCAACTGCTCGTTATCAAATGGATCAATCTCAGTTGAGCCATGTCAAAAGTGTCTCAAATCTCACATAAGGTCCCGATTGGATGCCTAGAGATGACTCTCCAGAGATGTCTCCCCTAAAAGTGACACATCCTGGAAGATGGGTGTATTTTGTTCGAACAGCATCTGGAAAAAAGCCCAAAAGATGCATATCCACTGTTTGGTTTGTCCGGAAGATGCATTTATCAGAAATTCTTTATATTCAAGTATTTTGTTTTATTATTTTTCTTCTCATTCTTGTTTTGTTAATGATTAAAACTATATAATTTTAGTGTGATTTTCATTGTTTTTTTTTTGTTGTTAACATCTATTTAATATGAATACTAGTTTGTTATCATTTCCATTCATCCCGAAATACTTGTATAGAGCATTCCGCCCATGGCATATAGACCCCAGGTTTTAGGCCAATGAACAACACATAGTAACTTGACATTGCATGGCATGAAAATAAATTATGGTATAAGATGGGTAAACATATACCACATCGATGTGAGTGAAAATGGGAAAAGAAATGACAGTCTTGATGCAGAAGAGTTTGATAATCATGAAAATGTGAAATTAAAAACCTTGACATAGAAGAGTTTCCATCCATATTACAAAATCTAACAAAGCATTGAAGAAGGACCAAATCCTCCTCATTTGGGTGATTCTCTCCAATAAGGTGCCCATACGCCACATGATCTCCAAAAACAATGTCCATAATATGCATAGAAGGAAAACTTTTGTTCATATCCTTGATGCCCATTCATTTCCCTGTGCAAGTACAATTACCAAAAATCAACATACCATGATACATACAAGCCAATGGTCATACTGCTACTACACATAATCATTCAAAAAAGAATATTACCTTCACATACTCCTCCCAAGCTGGCCCGATCAGCATCCCCTCCCATCAAATCCAAAGTCAGACTGGGCAATGAATTTTTTTCTCTCTATAGATTACTGTTAATTGTTTAATTCTCTGTTTTACCCTATCTCTACTGAACCCAGGACCATGTTGGGCAGACATAATGGAGCCTCTGTCCACACATTCCTTGAGAACTGCCCATCAATTTTCATACCTTTTTCCACTTTCTCTACCATGAGCTCTAGTAGGGTATCATCTTGTTGGGGAGTCCATTTAACCAACAAACTCATTCAAATGAGCAATAATTTAACCAACAAACTCCCATTCAAATGACATGTAAGTGCTCAACAGTATCATGAAATATCATTTAATACGTTTCAATTAGCATTGAATGGCCAAACGCCCTTGGCAACATTTGGCCGCAGTTAAGTGCAGAGCCCTCTGTTTTGGCTGCAGTTGATGTGTATTGCTCAGACTTATAAGGGGCTTTTGCCTGCATACAAATATATTTGAGTATATTTGGACTTGTTCATGATCCAGAGTATAAAACTGAGTATAGTTCTCTACGTGGTCAAGCTGCAGGACATTTAATTTTTATCCAAATCAGCAGTGTCTTAATGTGGTTATTAGCCTTTGTGGTCATAATTATATAAATTTTAAGTTGTATTGCTTTGGAAGTTTGAAGATTAAATTGTATGAAACTGGCCCCTCGCTTAGGCTGCAGTTAAGATATTTGGGCCACAGAATGACTTTAAATCACTCAAATATGTCCGTAGTTTGTTCTCAAACTGTATTCTTGATCATCAGTTTAGACCCATTCCTGTGCTTTGATCACTTTGGATCCATTTGAAAGTTTGGTATTTTTCATCCAAACTATGATTTGGATCCTTATTAATCAAAATAGGCTTGTTTAATAGGTTTTTTCTCTGTATTTTGCAGTAGAGACGCCTGCATTTTGACAATGGTTAAGCCCTTTTGAGCTCAAGTTATCTTTTAACTTTAGGGTGATTTTAAAACCAACCAAACAGTTGGTCTGGGAATACTCTATGCTTGTAGGCCTATATGTTCAGAAGAATAATTTCGAATTGAATGGCATTCAGAAATTTGTAATGAACTTCAATTGAACTCTAATAGTTTAATCAAATCCGGACTTGAACAGTAGAGTGAATTTCTAAGGAAATTCAAAAGCTCTAAAATTTATCTCAATAATAAACAAAAATATAGATTGGGAATGTTCTAGGTTCAAGCATATATTATTATCGCAGATAGAAGTAGCCCTTTGTCTTTTTTCTGAACATAAACTCATTCATTTCTAACCACGTATAGAACATTTTGTTTAAGCATACGATTGCTGCTTGAGATATTTTTATTGCATAGAATATAGATGTTCTTTTAACATTGATGTGTGCGCATGTATATTTCCTGTAAAAAAAATTACTCTAGATGTAAAAGATTTTGCAAGTGTAATATATCGAACAAGCTAGACCACGAAGGTGGTTTTGGTTAGAGGATTTGGAGTTTCTATCCCGCATGACTCCATGAGCTCATTAGACTCCCTACGAATGCGGCAAAACTCTCTCCAGCTCATGACTATAAGAAGATCAAAAATCTCATCAAACACATTTTGATGCTTCAACAAAGTTCCCTACCACTTTCCTAGGTTAATATCGTAATAAAATCCCCTCCAATGATTAAGTTCTTCCAGCTGGAATGTTGGTTTCTGAGTCCGGATGGGCGTTCTGCCCTCTGCTTCATTTGAGATCCACTCTTGTAGAGGACCTGAGTATTTCATATTTTTCTCCTTGATGGTCTCTCACTCCCAGTCCTACTCTCCCTACATTGCCTCTCGAAGTTCCACTGAAGTTGAACTTCAAAAAGCCTTCAGGAGGTTGCACCCAATTTGCAGATCTTCCTCCTCTCCATAACTCACCTGTTGCAATCCCTTGCCATTTAGGCTTAAAGTCATACACAAAGTACACCCAAAACTGTTTTCTAGATTTGGCCCAGGAAGCTACACTAACTTTGATGTGATTTTCCTCTGTTCCTATCCTATGTGCTTATCACATTGAATCATCTGTTACTGTGCAGGCACAGATTTTAGAGTTAGGCTGCGAGCGGTTTGGATAGGAGGAGCATTAAAAAAATTTAAAAAATTGTTTGCTTAAAATGTCGATTGTGTAACCCAAGATATTGTACGCGTACTACGATAAGAAGATCATTTTAGCTCTTTTTTTTTCACAAGTCTAGTATGTGCTTATAAACCGATGCATATGTTAGCTATGTGCTTAGGTGTGACAGTAGGAGATAAATGATGTTGTCATGTTTGTGGTGCATGAATTTTATTCATGAATTTCATATTTCTGGTGCATGTATTTTACTAAATTGCTGAATGGGGGCCTTACAATTGAGTCTAAAGTTATGTACTAGGACCTGGAGGGTCTGATTGTGGTGTAGGGGGATATCCTCAATGTTATTGGTTGGAAACCCAGGGTTGCACTTCCGCCCTGGTGCTATGCTATGATCTTTGAGGAGACAGCAGATGTGGGTTCTTGATTTCTTCTGACTTTTTAGCCTCAAGATGCAGCTGCATCTTCTAAAATACTAATAAGGTTGCCCATAAAATCAAAGGAAAAAAGAACAAAAGAAACACCTTAGAGAAGATGCTTAGCCGTGATATAGACTTATTTCGCACCTATATTGATCTGCATGTAGCTGATAAAACATATCGGATATTGAGCCATGTGAGTACCAAAGCTCATTATGAGCATACAGATATGATCTGAAAAAAGTTTAAGGATTGTCCTGTTCAATCTCACATAAGTGCTAGATTTGCAGAATCCACCTTTCTGATTAAACATCATGCATTCACTATGCAAAAACCCCCATGTCTCTTCTGGTATGAAATTATTAATTGGTTGCAGGATCCGTCTTCAACTGTAATTCATGCCCTGCTCCTGAATATGCTTATATGAGATAGAATTGTCAGTTACTTATTTGCCATTCTTCTATTGTGAACCTCAATGTGTAAATTATTTTCTACAAGAAGCTCTTCACTAAAGGAGATTTTTCTTTTGTTTGCCTTTCTGCATTTATGGCATCTTGTTTCAGTTCTTCGCTGCTTTTCTATATGAATTTGTAAGATTATGATTGCTTTGAAGTGGGTACCAATTTCCGTCATTCGATATCCATGATATTTGCTTTAAGTAATGACAGTGAACTTCAGCTGATTAGATTTTGATTTTCAGGGTCACCATACCAAGGAGGAGTATTCTTCCTTGATATCACATTCCCGAGTGAATACCCTTTCAAACCTCCCAAGGTATGAAAGATGAAAGTTTTTCAAAATGACAGCTCCATTTCATAAAATTATTTCAGTATGAAAATTCTTCTATTAAAATTTGGTTTTAGATGCAAAACATTTGGGTGTGGTTCCTATTTTTGAAATTATGACACATACATGGAAAGTTCTACTAAGTGCTCTTTTAGAATTGTTGTTCGTGCACGCTTCCTTTTATGTCCTAGAAGTGCCACAGATGGTCAGTGATGCACACTTGGACTCACAACATTTTGGGGCTATGGAATATGTTAGTAACTATTTATGTTTATATGCCATGTTTTAGAACCTGGCGGATTGGCCAAAGTTGACTTGTTTTGATAACTTGCCAAGTCTTTACTTCTTTTTTTGTTTTAAAGTGATTTGGCTGAGACTCGTGCATTCCTCTTGGCTCTGGAGCAGGATGAGTCTTGAGCCAATACCATGGTTTGAATCTTTGATAGATCTAAGTGTGTATGTTGATTTATATGCATGTTTGTGTAGCTCAAATGCTGAATCCTTCAATGATCAAGCAGAAAAATTTAAATATTTCATTACCTTATATTGGTTTGAAACTTTGAATTTATTGTCTTTGGAAAACTTTAAAATTGCTTGTATTTGTGGGCCTACATTTATATCTACGTTGACATGCACATTTTTCTGCTCTCAAACAAAGGTTGGGACCGAATAGAGCATTAAGTTGTGTATGCAAGGAAGACGAGTTACAATCTCTGCCATAGTCATGAGAAGATTTGCATTTATCTATGTAAAGAATGTATGCTGTAGCATACCAGTAGGATGCTACATATCCTCTGTACTATCCATACTCAACAATTGACAGTGGAGATGACTTTTAGCTTACTGCTCATGTGGTTTCCTATTTTGCCGTGGTAGCAGAGCCTGTCCTAGGAGCCCTACAGTAGGAATACTAGGGTTGAATCAGATTTCTCACTCTTTGGAGATTCCTGTCTTCGTCTAATTGATCAGTTGACTAATTGAGGGTTACATCCTGAATATGGAATTTCTAGTTTGTGATAGGTGTCGAGAAACTCTAGATCAAAATGTGCAAAACCTAGCTTAGAACCCATTGTTTACTAAACAATATTACTGAGCAAGGATCAAAGGGGAGATCAATAAACAGGGTTTTGTGTTGACCAGTATGATCCGAGGTTTAAAAGCGTGATTGATAATCATAATGGAGATCTATACAGACAGTGTCATATTCTCTAATATTTGAGCCAATGTAACATTCTTGTCACAGTCGGAACTCCAGTTTGGGGGACTCAAATTTCTTAGAGTCAAGCCCAGAGTATTGTTTTTATATTATTTTTCACTGTGAGGACACAACAGTTTGGGAGGCTATATTTTTCTGATTTGCACTAACACTGTGCTTCTACATTCCAATTTTGATGCATTTGGATTTGTATTTTTAGAATCACAATGATTGTAGTAAGATTGGGTCTTGGGGTTGAGCAATCTTTATGTACTTTTTTCGAAGAAAGAGGTGAATGTTTAATATCTTTCAGTCTTTATTTTCAATCACTTTGATCTGTTGAAGTATTGTTATTTTTGAAGAATTGTACTAGAAATCAATAGATTGAAACTTCTGTGTTCTAGTATTCGCATTAAACATGGTCCTTTTTGGTTAAATGTCTGCAAATGTGCTGGCATGTATTCTTGGTTAGTATTGCATATTCTGCAAATTCATCATCTTTGTTTTATCATTTGTCTTTCGTCTTATTTTCTTCAATGTTACATCCATACCTCCTTATTGGTGGAAATCTCATAGGGAGTTTGACATGCAGGTCATATTTAAAACTCGAATCTACCATTGCGATGTTGATGCTGCAGGCAATGTTAGTTTAAACATTCTAAAAGATAGTTGGAGTCCTGCCTTGACAATTTCGAAGGTTTTACATGCCATCAGATCAATCTTTACTAATCCTGATCCTTGTTAGTACCATTCCTTCTCTTTAATTGTGTTTTTGTGTGATTCTTGGCACGACACACGCATCACACACGAGAGAGAGATAGAGAGAGGCAGTATCGGCTCAGACAACTTAGGCGGTTGAGCCTCATGTGTTTGTCAGTGTGCGCAAGTGTGTGCAACGCACATAATTCACCCATCTCATGTGGATGGTTTTGTGATGGGGGTAAGATTTACATGCATTAAAGGCTTGTCACTCTATTTATTGCATTTTCTTTTGCCCCCAATTGAGGGGACCCTCATATGGGATGGCTTGGATGTAAAGCATCCTCTATTATTAAGGTGAAAGTTAACATGATTCACTCTTGAGGAATGAGTCTAGAGGAATGCTTATATGTGCATGTATGTGTTGCGTGTGTGTGCATGCCATGAGTGTCTAAGGGCAGGTTTGGACAAAGTGTTTTCTTGGTTACTTGTGATCAAGAACCAAGTCGAACAGTTCTTTAAAAACAAAAAAAAACAAAAAAAATTTTATTGTCGAATTATGCCATTATGTGGCTTCATTCAAAAAAACGAAGTTCATAACATTGTGTACCAAATGTGACACTGTTTGATGACTTGTATATGAAGTAGTAGTTTTATTCAGTTTAGATAGTAACTCCGTAACGTTAGGCATTGGTGAGAAACCCTATTTGGGATATTGAAATTATTATGCCAAACATAAGTGTTGACTATTTTCCCAATCCTGGCAGATGATCCCCTTGTTGCAAGCATCGCTCACCAATATTTAACTGACAGAGATATGCATGACAAAATAGCAGCGGATTGGACACTAAGGTTTGCGAAGTAAACTCTTCAAAATGGTAAGATGTATGACTGGCTGGAGAACCCTGTATATAATCATGAGCTGGTTTATGTGCATGCCTATTCATTATGCTATACTACATGTATATCTAAGGATCCTCGTCACCAACCATTGGAGCTGTATGGACAGTATAAATGAAGTGTGTGATCTCCAGTGCTCGGCTAAATCCATCCATTGGCTACAATTATTCGAAATAGTTGGCACAAGTAAATGACACATGATAGAGTGATATGGACTATCCACAGTCCCACATCACATCAGGAAAGCTTAATGAAATCATTTTTGTGGAATCATTTGATATGTTTCGATCTTGCTAGTGGACTTCTAAATAATCAAGGGGAGACATGAGCTTAATGAAAATCAATTCCGTAGAACCGTTCAATTTGTCCAAATCTTGATAGTAGATCTAGCCCAAACCTAGTTAGTGGATCTAAACTTGTAAATGATCAACGGGAAGCATGCCAGTTTAAGAGAACTAAAATCAATTCCGTAGAACCATTCAATTTGTCCAAATCTTGATAGTTGATCTAGCCCAAACCTAGTTAGTGAATCTAAACTTGTAAATGATCAACGGAAGCATGCCAGTTTAAGAGAACTGTATATGGGGATGTACAAAGGCTTTTTCTTTTTCTTTTTTTTTAGTTGGGTGGGGCGGGGGTGTAAGTATGGAAAATGAAATTATATTGTAATAAATTATTATATTTTCAAATATAATAATATTATGGTTTGATTGTCTAATCATTATCTCACCTTTGTGGAGCTTTTCTTTTGTTTTGTTCTTTTTTATTATTTTCTTCCATAACACATATTTTTACTGCTGTCTAATTTAGTGATAGTATTATGCCATCCATTTGTTAATCCATTTTAAGAAATGGGGCGTTGCACAATTAACCTGCACACTTTCAACTTAAACTCCTTTTTTTTCATTGATTAAGGACCCAGAACACTTTGAAACATCGGCAAATCTTTCTCCATGAGAAAATGAGGGATTTGGAGCCCTCAGAAGCTCCTAGTTCGATCTAATGTTCAAGTCAGATTACAAAATTGGCAATGGAGGTGGCACGTTTCTGGGGCTCTAGATCCATTTTTATTTAAGGGAAAAATCTGCCATAACTTTCAATATTATCTTAAGGGTTCATCCTTTAAAACAACGGAAGAATCATAGCGCATTAATATTAGGTCGCGGGAAAGGACCGGAGTCACAAAGGTACACTTAATTGCTGCTCTATGCGTTTAAGGAAAGTAAAGGATAAGACTATTTACTTTGGTACAATGTGGTCACATTAATCTTGATCATTAGATGTGAAATTGGCTAGCTGTAATTACTCCATTGATCAATCTCACACTTCAAAAGAATTTTTCTCAAAACTTTATAATATATCCAAGCTATCAAATTCCACATCGGATGATTGTAAGTAATTGTGATTACTTTATGTCAAAGTTAAATGGTCTCATTATATACAATTCCTTTCGTTTAATTAGAAAGAAGTATTTCGTTCAAGTCTTGGAGGTACTTTCGAAACTGTTTTGAGAGAGAGAGAGAGAGAGAGCATCATCAATCCATGAAATAGCAAATCTGCATATTTTTTAGTGTTAGTGGTGTAGGATATGGCCGGTAACAGGACCGTGACCTGGTGCAGTGGACTGGAAATTCTGGACGTAATCAACCATTACACTGGGACGCTAATGATGAATCATTGTCTAATGCATTTTCTGTCCTCCTTTGTGGGGCTTTAAGTGCCTTCACTCACACAAGAGCCCTGCAGGAGATAGGAGAGTGAGAATCAAAGCGGCCTGCACCAACTTCATCTTGGCTTAGAGAGAAAGGACTAGAAACATGAATTAGGTTTTTGAAAAACTTACCATTACAGTTTTTGAAAAACCAACATTTCTGTCTTTTTTTAAGAAAAATTGTCCGGATGATGAAAAAAAAAAGTATAGATGTAATAACAAAAACTGAGGTAATTTCGTAATAATGGTAAATATAATAGGTATATATATATGTTATTTTTTTTTATTTAATTATTTTTCATGCCGTTGTGTTTGGACATATTACAAGACAGATTTTGGAGCTTTTGGTCCTCACCATGCACAAAAAATGGGTATATGAAGTGGTTTAGGTGTCGTCATGGCTGCACCAGAATGTTTTACTTAAAATGTCTCTCCTTAATTGGGATGGTAGTACAAGAACCTGATAACTGTCGAGGATTGATGTCTTGTATTTTGAGGAAATAGATCTGTCAAGGTAGAGTTAGAAGGACGATTCTGAAGGGCCGAAGGCCCAAAGGGCTTGAGGAGGTAGAGTCGAAAGAACGAATCCGAAGGGCCGAAGGCCCAAATAGCTTGGGGCCCGGAGGAGTGTCCGGCCAGATAGACTCGGTTGACTCTGCCTCTGCAGCTCTCAAGGAAAATTTTGGATATCCGTACATGATATTCGATATATATCTGTACTTGGGGTATTTTTCGATAATTTGTACCATCTATCTGGGACTCGATATATATTGTTGTGATGGATTTTTTAAGGTAAAATAGAAAAACGTTGATTTCTTTGTAATCAGAGAGAATGTGAAGAAGAGAGCTATTGTAAACCTATTCTCTATTACTAGTAAGGAAGCTCTCATCTCTCGTAGACGTAGCTTTTTTGTTTTCGTGGATTGCTTTTCGTTTATACAATAACCTGTTTGGATGGCCAGTAAGTCCACTAAAGGAATTGAATTATTCCAATGGATAATGTTTGCATCTAAGTTTAAGGGCGGTTTTCCATAAATTGTTTTCTCTGTTTCAAGCCAAAATAAAGAAATTTGTCTCCCAACCTTCTCCTTAAAAAATGGTTTTCCCACCACATTTCCCACTCAGGGAGCCGAAATTAATATTAAATCTATAACATACAAAACACGACCTGGTTCGTAGAACAGGTGAAGTATAATAAATATATTTGGAGGTTCCAATCCTCAAGTCTGGACATGTTATTTCATATTAAGAGTGAAAATATTATAGTAAAATGCAAGTTATAACATAGAGCAGATTTGTAATATAACTAAAGAAAAGATCCATTGATCATATGTTTCGTCCAGCATAAGCTCCATAGGCTTTTAGAAATTTAAAATGTATTTTTCTTTACTCTTTTAAATACCCATGTGTTCAAAGACTCAAAAAAGAATATCGAAATTTTATATCTATAAAATATTGATGATTTTTTTTATTAAATATATAATATGCTCCTCTAGGAGCATTTTAATTTATTACTTTATACACTAGTGTATGATGCAAGTCCACTTTTATCCACATACATATAGGATGTAGGATTAAATGCATCATAACTGCTACTTTTTACGGGAAAAGTTTATATAAGGTTGCAACTTAAAAATGTAGAATCACATATGCACCTAAAAAATCTATCGAAAAGGTGGTTTTAATATTGAAAACCCTCTAATTGATCATCTCAATATCGAGATGTATGAATATTTTAAAAAAAAAAATTTGAGTCCCAAAAATAGTGCATCTTGCAACACATTCTAGACCGTCTATTTTTAAAATTTTCATATGTTTATAGATCTACTTGATTTTAACCATTTTTGGAATTTAAAATTTTCTAATTAGATGTGAAAATAGTTTTTAAGATAATCCTATGAATTTTTTACAACAAAATTATATGTTATGATAAAATTTGGAGGTACGCCTTAATTGGATTGTTTAAGGTTGCAACCTTATAGAAACTGCACCCTTTTATAAAACAACCAATTTTTTATGCAAAAAGACAATATATATGTAGGTCCACAAAATATGAAAATCCGACGTCATCAGATAAAAAATATGGAAAATTACATAAAACCCCCAAAAATAGGATTTCTTGGCACATTACCCCCACCCTACTTTTTCTTGACATATTTTCCTCAAAAATCAAGTTTTATAGCAAATACCCCAATACAAAAAGTTTATTTTTTTTAACGAAAATACTCTTCCCATACATAATAAATCATTTTTAGATCCCAATAACAGAAAACGCAAGGCTGTGGTTGTATATCGTCGGACCCATCCATTCTGCCCAACTGAAATTGTACACTACCTAGCCGCTTATTCTATACATAATTTTCAATTTTGTCGAACCGTAGCTCACAAATGCTGGACCGCTCATTAATCCAGAAACAAATGTTGGACCGCCTCTTCCAAACTTCAGACCGCCATGATGAAGTGCCAAACCGCCATGGTGAAGTGCCAGGATGTTCCAAATCAGTGACTTAAGCGTTGGACCACCTCTTCCAAACGCCGGACTGCCATGGTGAAGTGTCGGACCACCATGGTCAATGTATGAGGTAAGGGACGGGTATTTTAGTCTCATTTTTTTTCCTTTTGTGGAGATATTTGCTAGGAAATATGATTTTGAAAAAAATGGGGGTAAATTGCATAAAAAATCCATTTTGAGGAGTTTTATGCAATTTTCCCTAAAAGTTACTCATGCACAAATAATATAGATAATGATAAAGGACAACATTGAGAGAGGGATGTCTGTAAAATGATAAAAACGACATAAATAATTGATAAAATACAACATTTCAGATAGGCAAAAATAAATGATAAGCAAAAGACTTATATATGCAAAATACATGCAAACTACAATACAAAATAAAAAATAAAAAATAAAAAAGAAAGAAAAGCCTCATTTATATAACAAATTATCTCTTTTCCATTGCAATAACATATTATATCTAAACTTAACCATTCCATTACATATTTGAACTTGATTTTATTAATCAATAATTTTATAGTCATTTACTGTTTTAATAAAATATTTCATAAAATTTGTAAATTATTTAAAAGGTGCACCATATTGAAAAAAATTACAGTTCATAGCTAAATAATATATCAAATTTAAATTAAATTTTACATGATGTTGGTTCCAATTACTTATTTTAAAAGCCATAAAATTGATATAGAATGATAAATTTTTGAAAAATAATTCATGTTTAAGAATAATTATTTCCAAATAGTTATTTAAAACTATAAATTTCTTATAAAAATATTTTAAACATGTCAAAATTTTAAAAGTTAATTAATGAGTGAGTTTAAATTTATAGCTATAAATTAAAACTTATAATTATCACTGCAAATTAAAATTTATAATTGAGAAAAATCATAAATAATCAACAAAATTATTTTAAATCATAAACTTTATTCATAAAAAATATTTTTTGTCATAAAAGGTATACATAAGACTACTCACATTTTTATTTATTTACTTGACACTTTGGTGATCAAATTAATATGTAAGTTTTTTTTAATATTAATTAACTATGTATGACTTCATAAGCATAATATCAACTTATCAATCAAGTTATAAGATTTTAGTTTTGAGCCACATAGAGTTGATATTTAAACTCATAATACAAGTTGAACGTAAACATAACACATTGAGATGCTTTTAAGCAGCAGTTTACAAAAGCTTAATATAAAAAAAATGTTAAATAAAGATATAGGATGTATATTAGCTATTCATTGTTGGCAAATCCCAAATTTTCGAGTTACTACTTCAAAAGAAAAATGTTAATTTCTTAAATTTTAGTTTTTAAAATATAATAGAGCTATTGTTCAAAGATAACACTTATACATGAATAATATCCATAGACAAAGTTAATTTTAAATAATAATTTAATAATAAAAAGTACATAATATTTGGTTTAAAATTGGTATACAACTTTTCTTTAATGTAACTAATCTTGACTAATAATTAGCACTATATT